TTGGACCCCAAATACAGCCCTATTTATGGTGGAAGCGATATATCACACGATTGCAGTTAATACAGTTCGCTATACTTATAGTGTATGCCATATGGAGTGTCACTATTGGAGATATGAGTGATTATCCGCTATCTATCAAATGGTTGGGCGCTATTCAACCATTCATTTTCTTTTATATGTTCTCAAAGTTTTATATCAATTCATATAAAAGTAAATCAAAAACACAGTAAATAATCTCATATTCTTTAAACTTTATACTGATATTAAGTTTAATAATATAACATTAATATAACATTATTAATTTTTAAATTAACTGTGTCAAACACAAATCACAATTTTAAGACAAATATTTTGAAAAATTAATTGTGTAAATTATATGAAATAATTTTTTATTAAAAATATAATAACACTATTATATGAGATACACAATACTCGATACTATTTTGTAAATTAAATAAAAATGAATTTAATTAAATTTTTTTAGATTTCCAAAAAATAATGTTATGTGTATTAAAATTTTTGTTTTTACTTTATCATAATGACAATGTTAATATTAAACAGTATATTAAAATAAATATGAGTATTTAATTGAGTAATAAAATAAATAAAATATCTAAATGTATTTAGTTTTGTTGTATAACTTCCCGCGATATTTATAAAATAAAATTGATAAAAAATAAGTACACTACTGAATATTTTAAATATGTTTATAAATGATTACATTAGATCTTATTTTCAAAAGTATTATAGAAAATCCTTAATTAGCAACAATCAAATATAAAAATAAACTATGTAATTTTTTTAGTATAATAAGTACAGTACTAAACGCACCTTAAAAATTAGTATATCTAATTAAAATGCACACAAATTAATTATTAATTATTAAATAATTAATTGGCAATGGATTTTTCTAAATTGTTTTCAAATTTACTAAAGTTTAAGACTTAAATAAATTTTAAATTAAATAACAATTAAAATATAATGCAATAACTATATTTTAATTACTATATAAATAAGTTGACACTTGTTATATATAATATAATTCAATATTTACTAGACACAAATTCATAAAACTTATTGAAAGTGATAATATATAACATGAGTTTGAATTCAATAATATATGTTTTACACCAGTATTGGGTCGATACTACTTATGAAGGACTTAAATGTTATACACTTATCGGTAGTGGACCTGGACTATTTGTATTAATAATGTTATCATGGTTGATATTTGTAACAAAATTGGGTCCATATCTCATGAAAAATCGCAAACCATTTGTATTGCGGGAAATAATGATAGCATATAACTTGGTATTAGTTGTGATAAACGCATACTTCATATACGCTTCACTCAAATGGTTAGAGTTTGGCCGCAAGTCATGGAACCCAAGACTACCCCCGAGTAACCAATGGTCTCAGAAAGCCATCGCATTGTTACCCCTAAAATGTTTTTACTTTTATACAAAGTTATTTGATTTATTGGACACAATATTCTTTGTGTTGAGAAAAAAGTCAAATCAGATCTCATTTCTACACGTCTATCACCATTTTATGGGTATTTTGTGAATGATTAAAAATAATCATAACTAAAAAAATTTAACTTACAGTTCCAATATTGGTTTGGTTAACGTTTAAACAATGTCCTGTCATAGTTATTGTCGAGGTGTTCTGTTTGCTCAACTCTATTGTCCATACAGTCATGTATTTGTATTACTTATTGTCGGCATTTGGACCCCAAATACAGCCCTATTTATGGTGGAAGCGATATATCACACGATTGCAGTTAATACAGTTCGCTATACTCATAGTGTATTCAATTTATTGTGTCACCTCCGGTGATCTGGATCTTCCCGAGTCTCTTAAATGGTTGGGTGCTATTCAACCATTTATTTTCTTCTATATGTTTTCAAAGTTTTATATCAATTTGTTAGGTTCATATTTTAATATGGAGTGCGGGTTGCACTGGTTGTCGTGTAGATTAATTACTTATACGTTTGATATTTTAAAATGATTTTATTAAAAATAAAAATTAGGAGTGAGTACAAGAGACAG